GCCCCAAACATGCCTTTCAAAGCCACACATTCAGAACAGGTGGAAGAAAAGTCTCCATTGCTTTGCACAAAGTTACATTGTGGAATTCACTCTCGTGAAGCAGTAGCTGCCAGCTGGTGTAATTTAGAAGGGAATGGATGAATCCATGGAGAAGGCTGTCGAAGCCACTAGTCCTGATGTTTTCAGATTAACTCCAGGCACCATGGCTCCGAGACAGAGCACACGCTTGGCATGTGGAAGGCCCTAGTTTTGATCCCCGGCACCTCCAGCTGAGGCTGAGAAAGACCCTTGCTGCCAGCTGATGCCGACAACACTGATCCTCATGGACCAAGGCCAAAGAAGCTTGCACCAGCTTCCAGTGTTCCTGCATGTCTGAATGCACCTTGTCGGAGGAACAGGAGCAGGAGGGTCCTGTAGCAGTCACGTCTTGCTTGGGGCCTTGCTGGCAGAGGCCTTCTCACGAAATTTGCTCCAGTTTGCAGATGGCTGAGAAATGCCTTCTGCCTGAAAGGTTGTGTTTGTGTTTGCAAAACACACCCTTGAAAAATGCACAGACATTCTAAAAATGCATGACTCTCTCGACAGCAGGCTGCTGTGGGAGCGGCATGCTGGCTGAGGAGGGCTTTTGGTCTGTCTTGCTCCAGCTTCTCCAGCGCCTGAAGCTTTCTTTTGCACAGGACCTGGTGCAAGAGCCAGTGTGGTGCGGTGGTTAAGAGCATGGGACTCGGGCAGTCTGGGGCAGTTCTAGTCCCCACTCATCCATGGGACTAGAGGACTTTGGACCAGTCATAGACTCTCAGCCCCACAACCTTGTTCCAAGGATAAGATTGAGAGGAAGAGGAGAATCACATAAGCTACCTTGAGTTCCTCGGAATGAAAAAGGCAGGAAATAAATACGTGTCACCATGCAGACTGTTCCCCTTCACCCACTCTAGGAATAAAATGTACTTGGGCTGTGTCAAGGACACAAGCCGAAAAACGCTGTGGTGCCTTTGCTTTAAATATGCACAAGGTATAATGTGACATTCACGTATTTGCCGCAGCGTTATTTTTGCTGCCATTGGACATAATGTCTGTGTCTGTCCAGACGCGGCGGGTTCACTGCCAGGGCCACTCCGAATATCCGGAAAAGGAGAAGGTAGGATCAAACCGTTTAAAACATGTTCACAGGGTAAAAAAGAGCCCGTTGTGCTCAACACATTTGACTTCAGGTATAGCCCAGAAATGTATTAAACATTAACCTGACCTTGGGATGCCACAATAAAAGGGGGGAATTCTAGAAGGAAAGAACAGGCTGTGCATCTTTGAATTCAGCCCTTTCTGCCTGGCCATGGTGCCCACTTTCTGATCTCCGCAAAATTGCTTGGTGTGCTGAGGCCACCAGGAGCGATGGAGAACCTTGAACTGCCGTGTTCCACTTTACACCTCCTCCTCGTCAGTCGCCAGCCGTCTTCTCTGCCTCCTGCCTTTAAGCTTAGCTGTGGCAGCACAGGCCTCTCATGACACCGCAGGGTGTATGTTCTGCGTGGCTCCAGTCCAGAGTTCATTGAACAAAGAGCTTTGGTTAGAATCTCTGGGTGATGCGTGCAGGCATCATGGAATAAGTTCTGGGAGTGGATGAGGTGGGACTTGACAAATAGATATCTATTTGAAGAATGCTGGTGGAGGAGCTATTAAAAACTTGCCGCCTGCTTTGTTTTGGGGGGGAAAAAAAGCCTCAAAAGTGGCTTACAGCAAAGGCATTCATACAATTTCCACTCACAGCCAAATCAGGTGGTGAATGTCAAAGGCTGCGTAGCAAAAACAGAGCCACAGAGAAATGATGGGAGTTATGCAGATGCTCCGGACGCTCATGGTTAGAAAAATAATTCTCGGGAGGAGGGGAGTGAAAGTAATGGCCTGCCTTATGGGGATGGAACCTGCTTAGCAGCCAGAAGAAGCCAACAAGCCCTCCAGGGAAAGCCAGCGTGCCGTACTGGTGGGACTGGGACTCGAGAGACAACACGGAATTTTCCTCCCCTCTTCCTACATTCTGTGACGGGACGGTTAGGATTCACGTGCAACAAATAAACAAACAAAAAGCATTTATGTAAGGAGAGAAAGGATTCCGAACATGGCTGCTTCTCTAAATGAATGGATCTAATCTAAAGCAACATTGGAGGAGGTATTTTTTTTCCTGCCAAGGGCGATTGCCCCACAGGGGAAACTCTGGCGGTCGCAGGTAATCAATTACTTGTATTATTGCCTTTTAAGTACAATATAACGGCAATAAATAGCAATAGTATAAAGCCTCTGGAGAGCTGGCGGAAGTGTTGCTATCCTCACGGCTCAGGTTAGGATCCACTGCCTAACCCTGCAACTCTTCCTCTGAGAAGGAGGGAGGTTAAGGGGCATTTTGCTCCTGCTGTCAGAGGTCATTTGAGCCAGAGCTGGAAAGGCAGAGAAGAAAATCAGCTGCTGCTGGGAAATACTCTGAGCACCGTTCAGCAGCAAACCCACTGCTGGCCTTCCCAGGGATGGAGGTAGGGGAAGATACTCCCTGGAAGTGCCTAGAAAGCTCCCAGAAATTGAGGCTAAGGTGGAGGTGATTTGATTTGAAGGGAATGTCTTAAATTTCTGTGCCTTGGCCAACACCCATGTCTAAAACAACTGAAATTTGCAGGACCTGCTTGGCCATATTGGAGATTTGTCCCCACATTCTGCAGGTAGCCAGTCAGGCTGGCTGGCTGGCTGGCTGGCTGGCTGGCTGGCTGGCTGGCAAATATAGGTGAAACTTCTCCTCTGTATGTGCCGAGGGAAGCACAAGAAACCTGCTACAAAACTGGGAGAATAAGAGAAGGGGAGAGACCAGACCTGCCCTGACTGCATATGTCACAGGAGGGTCTTTGCTTCTGCTGATAAGCGCTGGAGGAGTGGTCTTCCATGATGGCACACCTGTGTCCTAGTTCTCGCTGAGGGTGATAATCATGGGCTGTGCCACTTCAGGCTACAAGTGGTAGTTCGTACGATCGATGGGCCCTCCATGGAAAAGAGGTCCACATCCATAAAAAAACAACTCTCTGGAAGGAAGAGTGCTGAGAGGACTTGTGTGTTTGTTGGCTCCCTGCTGTGCATTTTGAAGCAGCTTTCCCCATCCTGGTGTTCTCCAGAACTTTTGGACCAGCTCCCATCATGTCCAGCCAGGACAGTCAGGAATTCTGGTAGTTTTAGGTCCGAAGCTTCCCAAGGGGGCTGAAAATAGATCTCGCTTTAGCAAAACAGAGCAAGGTCTGTACCAAACTATTCCAGTTTGCGGGAGATGATCATTCACCAGCAGCGATAGCTTTGAAATCAAAGCTAGTAGTTCTGCAACTCAGATTTGTTTTGTCCAGCTCTGAGTCTCTGGAAATTTGGCTGAAACTTATCGCACACCTAGAAGGATCCTTTGAAAGCCCATTTAATGGGGCCATAGATAGCCCTGTGGCCAGAATTTTCAGGGCTCATTCCCCAGTACCATCCCTGAAAGCTGAGGAAAGTTGCTTTCCAAACCATCGGCCGGGTCGGTGCGACTGGGGAGGAAGCGCCCATAGTTTCTCTTCCTGCCCCACGTCTGTTTCATTCATGCCATCTGTGTCATGCAGAGGTCACTGTGTCATCCAGACCTAGCCAGGCTGAACAGCAGAGGTGGCTTCTAAACCACCCTGCAACCTATGATTTGTCCAAGGGTTCCAGGACACTGCAGACCCACCAGCACCAACCTCCTGCCTTGTCCAGGTGGCACATCGTAGAACTGAGGGAGCATGGGACCGGTTCACGCGGGCTGCTTCTCTCCCCTGGGCATGTAGACTTGGTCACCAGAGAGCCACGCCAGCTGTCCTTGGCGATCCTGAGCCAGTTGCGCCCGTGTCAGTGTGACGCAGTGTTCTGTGTTTCATATTGCCCGCCACAGCCACAAAATGCTCCGCCTGAAGCAAAATGGGAAGGTGCCTTTGCTTTTCCAGCTATTTGGCACCATCCAAATGCCTTGGTGATTGCTCTCCTGCTGGCTTATTCTTGCTCTCAAGCGGTAGGCAGAAATCCATACTCGGGTTTTAGAACAGTGGCATTGAGAAGCTGCCCTGTACAGGATGTGCTTTGTGTTAAAAATGGAATTTGTCATTTGGGAACATAACTGCTCTGCTTTCAGCTTATCCCTTTTAGGAAAACAGTGAATTGGGTGGCTATGCAATCCATCTTAAATGTCAAGCCAAGAAATTAATCAGATTCCCCTATTATAAATTTCAAAAATTAGAAAGAGCCTTTGCCCAGGTATTTCAGAGTATACTGTTCCCTTACCCCCGGAAAACTGTGCTGTTTAACCCTATACTTTTGGGCTCTTACTAGCCCAAAAGAGGGAAAGTATTGAAATTGTCCATGGCCTGTGTGGTGTTAGCTTGAAGTTTGTTGTAAACCTTACGCTTTTGATCGAATCCAGTAACTCTGGTGGCTGGCATACATAAAAGAAACATGTTTGCAAAACAAAGGAAAGGTATATTTACTCAACCAAAAGAAACAGTCCATGTATCAAAACCAAAGCAGACAGCAGATTCTTCCAGCCCTTGGCTGACTTTCTTCCAAACCAGGCGAGCCGTTTGTGTCCTACCAGTTTCATGGCTCCTATCACTGAGTCTTCTCAATTAATTCCTTTTCCCCCAGCGTGAAGGTGCTTTCATTTGTCTCACCCTCTAGACTTCCACAGTTTCAAAGTAATGGGAGTCTCTTCGCTGGTGGGTTGGAAGCAGTCCTTTTTCTCTCCTCCGTACCGAAACCACCCCCTGCAGCAAAACACGCGAGAAGAACAGCCGCAGAAATTGCTCCTTTGACATTCCTAGCGCAAATTAACAGTTTATATTGGAAATGTAGCCTGCGCTAATGAAGGGTTCTTCACGAGTTAGTATATAATTATATTAGCAAGCACGAAATTATAATTAAGTTTCTTGTGCATTAATGTGAGCTCTCTGTCATTCCTTGCCTTACAACAGTTTACTGGGACTTTATCCGATGGTTTGGGAAAGACAATGGACAATCGGCACCAGACAGAAAGGGAGTACATCCGCTACCACGCCGCAACTAGTGGAGAGCATCTTGTGGCTGGCATCCAAGGACTGACGCATGGTAAGAAGTCAATGCGAAGGCTGTTGGTGGGTTTATCGATGTGCGGCCAACACCTCTCTTGACACGCTTGCAGAGAGCGAATGTTCCAACTTGTCTCTTGCTGGACGTTTAAGGGAAAGTTTGGCTTGCATTTTAAGAAATAACTACTTGCACCCTATTGGCACATCTCATTTTTCAGTGGCCGCAAATTTTCTCCGTTCAAATGGGGCTCCTGGAAAATGTTAGCGTTCTCACGCGAGTCCTGCATCTTCTTGAGCTCCCCGTCATTCTCCTTTCCTTTGCCAGGGATCATCGGTGGATTAACAAGTGTAATAACCTCAACGATAGAAGGTGTGAAAACCGAAGGGGGAGTCAGCGGTTTTATATCCGGCTTTGGGAAAGGACTGGTTGGAACAGTAACCAAACCGGTGGCCGGTGCCCTGGATTTTGCCTCCGAAACAGCCCAAGCAGTGAGACAGAAGGCAACGGTGACAAGCCCCAGGTTAGACAAACTTCTGCTTGCCTTTTAAATTGCTGGGGACAATCACATGGGACAGGCATACAAGTGTTTCCTGTGCCGGTCGAGCAAAGCATTTTGTGCTTGAAGATTAATGTAAATGCAAGTCAGAATGCGTTGCATGAAAAAGATAAGATTTCAGGCTGCAGGCTCAGGGTGGAGTACGTGCAAAGAACAGAGGGGGAAGGCTTGACCTAGATCACTTCACGGCGTCTGTGTGAGGCAGGAAACAGTTCCAGTTAGAGCTTGATAGTCTTGGGTTCAGAGAACAGGCAATCATGATCCATGTTGCTGGCAACGTGCTTGTGTGTGTAGAAGTCCTTCTGTTGCATTTGCCCATTATTCCTCTGTGAGTTGGTTGAAACCGAACGAATCAAGTCTTCTTCCAAATACAGTGTTTTTGGCTTAGCGGTGTGTTGCTTGTGAGGTGTGTGTATTGGGCCGTGTGTCTTATCGTAGGCTCAAGCACAGGAATCAGGCAGCGGCAGCAGATCGCGAGAATGTTTGCTGCTACAAATGGAATCGGGTACTTTTCTTTGGGGCGAGAAATATTGATGCCCAGCCAGCCTGGTCAGCAGTCAGGAAGGATGGGAGGCATAATTCCAGAGATCTGGAGGGTATCGGGTTGAGGAAGCATGCTACAGAAGCACAGAGCCTGGAATCTTGCCCAAGAGCAAGGATCTTGGGAATCCCAGCTTGATGTTGCAGCCCTCGGGAATGCAGGGAATGCTTAGAAACATGTGGCCAGTGTCTGAATCTCAGAGAAAAGATTTAGTCCATGGTTATGTGTCTTCAGTTGTTTGCAGAGCATCGGTTTGTGGTGTCTCCTGACTTGGAAAGCTGTTCCCCCTGGAAGGCCCTCCCTCCGGCTTTCCTAAGCCAGGCCCCGGCTGCTTGTGGCTCCCTCATCTGTTCCTGCTCTTGGTTTGTTTGTTGTAATATTTTAAAATATGATTTAGGAAGTCTTTAAAGGTTCAACCCTCTTGAAACAACTTACATACATAACAGAAAAATGCAACAGAAATAACAAACATCAGTAAACATACAGTCCAGAAACTGTTTAATAATTGGAGTTAAAAGAGAAGGCAAGATGAAACATGACTAAAGGGATATGCAGAGGGGGCCGGGAATTCTTCAGAGTTAGCAAAGGCTAGCAAAGAATAAGGCTGGCAAACATCAGGTGGTAGCTTACAGCCCTGGGGGGAACCTGTCCTGAAAGGCAGCCAAGAAGTAATATTAGTAAATATTATTTAATGCTAATGCCAAGAATGACTCACGCCAGAGACTTCGGCCACTGCAAGACAGTCTGTCTGTTGTTCTTGCTAGTATGAGTGCCCACAGCGGCCGGCAGGTGGGAAGGGCAGGCTGATCAGCTGCCCAGGTGACGTGGACCCGGACCGGCCAAGGCTCTAGAGGCCAAATTAGCACGCCGGTCGAGGTGAGGAGATCCACCGGCAACCAGTGCAGCTTAGGTGCCACAGGTGCCCTCGCTCAGGTGGATGCAGGCGGCACTAGTTGCATTTCGCAAGCTGTCTGCAAAACAGCCCTGTGAAGGGATCTTCACGGCAGGCCAGCTGTCCTTCGGGAATGAATAAGCAAGGCCAGGCCAGAGCTGTCCGAGGAAGGTCGCAGTTGACACACCTGGTGAAAAGCATCCCTGGCCGCTGCCAACACCTGAGTTCCCTGGTTAGCACCTTCCCAAGGGAGGCAGCCCTGGAAATAGATGATTGGACACCGTATTAAAAAGTAGCACATTCGAAACTAGCGGAGAGATTTTCAGAAGCTCTAAAATAAGCTCTGGGGGAGAGGATATGCTAACCACTGCATGCCTCAAGCTAGTGAGAGCCCCACGTCCCTCAAGGAAGCATTAACACCCCCCCCCCCAGAGTATGTGCTCCCAGCCCAGAATGGGCAAGGGTCCAGAGACCATCGTCCACCAAAACGTCGAGCAGACAGATCAATGACAGCGGAGGGAGATCTCTTCAAGCCAGGACTTGCCATGAAGCAAAATTAATGCAACGGAGCCAGTCATCCTTCAGGCACATTATGCAAGGCAATTGAAGAGAAAGACAATTCTGGGGAAAGTTGGGGGAGGACTGGAAATGGGATGAATCAGTACCATGAAGGAAGTCATGCCTTGAGTTGACAGCAGCTGAGCAGACCTGCCAAGGACAGGACATTCTGGAAGGGACTTATTCAAAGGGCTGCCCTAAGTCAGAGACCGCATGACAGCTCCTAACAACAGCAAGGTCACTTTCTCCCCCCCTCCTTCCAAGCAAAGCAGGGCAACGGCTTCTGGCTTAGTCTTTATTATGCCAAAGCTGACCTGGCCCAGCTAGGCTGGCTTCCTAATACCGAAGAAGAGCATTGCAGGAGGCAGTCCCAAAAGAAATGTGCGACGCCGGAATCCTGGCCACCAGGGAAGCACCGCTTCATGATGAGCAGCAGATTCCAAGTTTTGCTCACTTCTGAGCCACAGAGGACCGGCTGCATCTTCAGGGCCACGCTGCCACAGCACCACTTCAAAACCTCTGGCCCTCTTCCGCTGGCCGGCCCCCTTCACCTGAAGTCTTGTAATCAGACCAACACTGTTGGGCCCACCTTTCCTCCTCTTATCTTTTTTTTCATTATCCCTGACTTAACGCTCTCCTGAGCTCCCCAGGAAACTACAAGGCTTTTTTTCTGGCCGGTTCTTTTCTTGTGCATGCTGCCCAGAGGGCATGAGTGATTGGGTAGTTTAAAGATGGCTCTTAATTAATTAATTTAAATAAACTGACACGGCTCGGTGCCGAGGCTGGGGATGCTGGAAAAAGTTCGGAGGATACAGGGGAGCCCAGCAAAAGAAAGTGTCCCGGCACAACTGCCTGCTAAACCCACGGAGAAGACCCCCTGCAGGCCTGAAAGCAGCATCTGGCAGCATTAGCAGTCTGAGGCTAACCGCCAGGTTCAGCCCTGCATCCTTGCAGAGGTTACAGGTGGCCTGATAAGACCAATCGGGCAATGATCCGCCCATCTCAATGGTGAAAGTTCTGGCTGCCCCCACTTCTGGCTACCCCACAGGTAGTTATTCCTAATGATCTATAAAGCGCCAGATCCAATTAGTTCTGGCATGCGTGTTGGGCCAGAGGGTATTGATAACTGGCCCGTGGTGGGCAGGCATTTGCGATGAACTGCCAGACAGAATGCCTGACCAGCGCAACGGAGTCCCAGTGGGCCAAGGCCCATTTCCCTGATTCTGCCCTGCCCTTCTCGTTGATCTTGAAGCCGTACCAAGCATCTTGCTCACGCATCTGGGAGAGGTTAGCTCACTCTTCCCCTTTGTCCAACCCAAACTTGGTAGCACAACCCTCGTCGTCAGCATGTTCTTCCGTAATTAAATCAGCCACAAAACATTCCTTCCCATTAGCCATCCTGGCATTCAGCAGCAGCGCACAAGACCAGAAGGGTCGGTGGACAAGCTTCCCAAGCGAGTAAGACTCGAGATGGGATGGAATGGAAGGAGGAAGAGAGCTTGGGTGTCTTGGTGGCCCATCCCCGAGTAGGCATAGCCAGCTCCCCCACCGTTCCATCCCCCTGCTGCATGCTTGGCTTTGTAAGGCCCCACAGTCCTCACCTCCCAGGCACCTCCCAGAACTCTCAGCTCAAAGACACACCTAATAACCCCAGTGCGGCCTGTTCCCAGCAGCTCAAAACAACCAAGCTTTATCCCATTTTCCCTTTGGCCATGGAGGCCTGGGAGACATTGGCAGCCTTTCTTGATTGCCCTCCTTTTCAGCCAAGGATCCACTCCACGGTGCCCCGACCCTTTCCTCCGCTGCATGGGGATGACTCCCTGGTCCTTAGCACTTGGATGCCCTTTGTTCAGAAGACACAGATGCAGTTGTGCCAGTCAGCAAGAGCATAAAGCAACATCGCTTTTGCCTAACCAGTCCGCAGCGTGATTATATACTGCATGACCCCAGGCCACGAGCCGGTGATTTTCAGCTGCCCTTTGTGTCTTACTTTCTGCTAAGGCTCTGGCCCACTAGGAAGCACAAGAATGTTCCTAAAGAAATGCGGGAGAGGGCAGCTTTGTTTGTTTGCACTGAGAAATCCAAGAGATTTCCCTAAAGATTAGTGAGCAGGGTGACCGGAGGGTGCTTTGCAATCCTCTTAATTCCGCATGGGGTGAAGACTATTCTGGAGACTTGCTGATGTCGTGAACATTCCCTGTTACTCAGCGCTGCAGCCCAGCTCAGCCTCAAGCACAAGCCAGAATCGAAAACCTGCGTTGCAAATGCATTTTCCTTCTGTTGGCTGAACTCTGAGTACACTCTAGCACTCCAAAGCCCAGAACAATCCATTTCTCATTCTAGTGTCACTTATGTAAGGCTCTTAGCAGATCTTGAGAAGAATGAAAGAAAACAGTTTGTTTCCCTTTGAATAGTTATGAGAATTTATGACTCACTTTCGGCTATCCACTTGGATGGCTTTTTGCTAGTCTTGGTGGCTTATGTTGCTCGAGTGGGAGAGCTTTCTCCCTGGCCATTTTGGCATCGAAGCTCTTTGATTGCTTTCATGGAGCTCCTAATCAGATGGAAGTTTTGAACCAGCAGAAAGCAGGAAGTACCTTTTTCTCCCGTTCAATTCATGCTTTTGAACAAAAACGGAGAGCCATCAGCCTGAGACCCGAGTGCTCATGTCTGAGCCACTGGAAAAACAAGAGTTGAGAGGAATTTTAGTTAGCCACATTTCATCCACATGTGAAGCAGCTTAATAAAGCTTGTGGGTGTGCATGTGGAGTCCTCCGGCGTGGGAGAAGATCTCCTCTTGGCCACGAAGGAAGAACGAAGCGGCCTGCTGGTTTCAGCCACATTTGCCGATGCTTCACAGGCGCCAGCTGCACCAGTGGGATGCAAGACCTGGGGGTGGAGGCTTCCTGGCTTCTCCATGGGATCTCCTTTCCTGAACAAGAAGTTGGTTTGTGATGGCACGGAGGTCTACAG